AAAAAAAAATAGCATTTAGAACCCACACTTAAATTTAAAAATTGTTATCACTTACTGTCAGCATTAACTGGTCTAGCAGTGGCTCCCAGTCTAGGCAGAACTTGATGTCCCCTCCTGATTCATATCCAAGGTGCTTGAAGGTAATCACTTCAGATCTCCTACACTGGGCTGTGATCTGCCCGTTGATGGACAGAAAGCTCTCATTGGCTGAAATTGAGATTCCTTTACAGCCAATAGAGATGTTGAGGTTCAGGCTCAGGGGGTTGTTGCCATGGTGCCATGTGCCGCAAAAGTTCCAGTCCAGGTCATTGTTACTGGAAACTGTTAAAATACAGCACACAGTATTAAAAAAAAATTCAACTTATGTGGCAGTGGTGTGATCTCTGGCTCTGCTGCAGTGTACAGAGGGGCAGTGTACTGTAACAAACAGTTACAGTACACTGTGTGGGTCCGAGTCTGAATTGGATAAGCAGAAGATGAATAGATGGATGGACTTTTAACATGGCACTGCAGGAGTTTACATTACAGTCTTTCAGATCAGAGTTTGCAAGCACAGATGTGATTCATCAGTAAATAAGTTCACTGAAGCCAGTGTGTACTGTGCTTTAAGCTAATAATTAATAGCTCTTATGTAAGTGAAAGAGTATAGGTGAAAGTGGAAACTCTAATTCTCACACCTTAAACTAAATTATTTATTTAGTTTGAGATGCTCACAAACTAAATAGCGGTTACACAGAGAAGAAGTTAGTAAATGCTCCTATTTTTTTATGTTTCTAAGTGAATATTCCTACACACAGCAGCATACAACAACGTATAATGTATGACACAGCACAGCATGCATACAGCACACATGTATGAACAAACTATCACAAAGTGTGGTTCCTGTGTGGTGATCTTACCAGTGGAGAGGATGATTAAGAAGCGCACTATGTTCTCCATCAGCCAGGGTTCTGTTGCTCACACCTGTTCTGTAGAAATGAAAAAAGTTTTTACACAAACCTATAATTCACTATTTAGTATGGAAGAAAACATTAATTCAGTATACTCCACCATTAAAAATCTGCCACTAAAGTGTACTGTAAGCTTACACTTATAAGCGCAAAACACATAACCAAACAGAAATAGCTTGAACACATTCATCTAAGCTCCCACTGCGGGACTAACAAATACTGCATCTGTGGCCATGCAGAGTTGGGTTGTGTATGCGTAGCAGTGTGAACGTGTTGTAAGAAATGGAAGACAGGAAGACAGAAACCTGTTGAACCACAGACAAAACAAACAGATGACTAAAAAGACCTTTGGGGGTCTGAATGTTTAAATAATACAGAGCAATGAGCACAAGTTCATTTACTGAGCTACCTTACATTTCTGACAATTTAGCACTCTAGATGATGAGCCTTAATTTGTCACCGCAATGTTACACGTACATGTTACATCCAGTGAAGTTGGACCCCTTCTGACCATACATACATTGCACAAACATCACATTGGGAAGACAATTCAGAAGAGGCAGCACGAGAAGAACAATGAAATACACAATACATGAGGGGAGAGAGTTGGAGAAAAAAAGAACTCCTCCCAGACTGATCTCTTAGAGAAGAGCAGTTTGAGAACAGAAGAAAACCTTCAGCACAAAAGCACATGAATCTTCATACCTCATAAAAAGATATGGCATACAATGTGGCGTATGGGCTAGCAGGTAGTTTAACACTATCTTCATGTCTGCTTCTATTTATAATTCATGGTCTCCATACTCATCTTGTGGTGGACGTTTGTATGACATGTATATGTCATACAGTGGAAATTTGTGTTTTTATGTTTTATCAATCTGTGTATTGGTACATAGTGTTGATTTTATTTGCATGATTTTATTGTGATATTTATATTGCATGTTTGTTTATTGATATTTATATTGCATGGTTTTATCCTCATTTATATTATGTGTGTTAATGTTGTACCATATTCCTTTAATCC